CTTTTCTTGGTGGTGGTGTATAAAAACCTTTTTGTAACCAAAATTATATACACCACCACCGCGCGCGCTTTGATGGATTCTGTTTCGGTCCTGAAAAGAGGAGGCGGCCCGGTTGCCATTGGCGGCGGGAGGGGGGCTGCGGGCTTTTAACCAAACCAAAATTGCACCAAATCGCATTGTAGATCTTGGTAATCTGTCAGGGAGCTTTGAGGCGCCGCTCCTATCAAGGAGTTTTGAGGCGCCGCCCCCAACAAGAGTCGGCCGCTGCTCCTGCCAGGAACACGCAAAAAAGGAGCTTTGGGGCGCCGCTCCTGTCTGGGAGCACGCAGGCGCAGCTCCTTTCAGGGAGCGCTAGGCGCCGCTCGCCCCTATCAGGGAGCACGCAGCTCCTTTGAAGGAGCTTCGGGGGCGCCGTTCCGATCAGGGAGCTTTTTTTTTTTTGTTTTTGCGCAGCCCCTGTCAGGGCGTTTTGCGTCGCTGCCCCTGTCAGGGGGCATTCTCGATCGGGCTTCCAGGAGCCAACGCGCGGGAGCAGCAACAGAAGAACTGCGAGACACGATCGGCCCAGCAGACGAGACCCGAGCAGCGCTGGCGAACCGCCATGCAAGACCGCACCAGAGTACACACGAACAGAGCAGGGCAAGCATACTTCTGCCGCTTCGCGCAGAAAACCGCCTGCCGCCGGCGCCGCAGCCCGCTGCGCAAGCATTGGGCACGCAGGAATTGAGCGAACACACGCGGGGTTGCTCCTCATGGTTTCCCTGCAGCATAAACGAGTTTACGAATCATGAAAACCTCTGCAGTAGCCAGGCCCGCCGTAGAGTGGCCGGCGTCCTTGCGCCAGCATAGGGCGCGTGAACGGCGCTGCCTGGCTGGCGGGAGCCCCTTCTGGGAACCCGCCCCTTGGGCTCCCAACGCACCAGAAGACGACGGACTGCGCGGCAGCGCCTGACAGGGGCACATCGTGAGGACCGCTTCCTGTTCCTATTTGTTTTACAACCCCACGCACACGATGCCACAGTCAGGCTTGCTCGCCGCCGCTTGAGTCGGAGTGGTCAACTAGCCGTTCGGCCGCCGACAGAGCACCGCGACTTTGGGCGCTGACGTAACCGAAAGCCGCCACGCCCTTCCAACCACCACTGAAAAACAAAGCTGCGGGCCCTCCTTGTTGGAGCGCCTCGTCTGCAAAGCCTCGCCTGAAAGCGCGCGTGCCCCAGGCCGCAGCACCCCGCAACTGCAAGGCTGCTGCTGCTAGTTTGACGACAGCAAGAGCGTCGGCATGCTGCGCGCTCGCGAAAAGGGGCCGACACTCCTTCTCCCACAGAGAACAATGCGCAGACACCACACAAGGAGCGTCCTAGCAGCTGACAAGTGCAACGTTTGGTTGTCTCACACGGTTCGTTGTAACATTTGCGCTGCGCGAAACGAATGACACAGGTTTTGCGTTCATCGCCGCTGGAGCGGAGTGTCGCGACATTTGACCCGAGGAGCAGCAACTCAGAGCAACGCAAACAGAATTGGCGAGCGATCACCCACGACGCCGCCAACAGCGGATATCCAGCTTCAGCGCACCACTTGCGGATGAGCTTGGTTTCTTCCGCAGCCGCCCGGATCTTCACTCTCCCGAATACGTATCGGGTAGTTTTCTCGGCACCTCTGGCCAGCCTTTCTGCATCATCGAGAACTCCGAGAGGGGCCTGCAATAGGTAGAGCACACTGCGAACATGAGAAACATACTTCTCTCTGCAGACTGTTTCCATGTCGGAATAAGCCCGCAAAGGCATTGAGAACATATTCAGACGGTGGCCAGCTGGGCGCCGAAATGGCCCTGGCAGCTTCGCCCCACAAGCGGACGGCGGAAGCGCATTGTGGAGCACTTTTTCGCCGCGCAGCGAACTCGACCCACAGAATGTGGAGATGGAGATCTCCGCCAAGAATATCGCGACGTGCACGTTTGACTTCTTCACGGGGCCTGCCAATCGGTTCCGCCCCTGGATGGCAATTGCAACGGGCGGCGGCGCGCCGCTGCGGCTGCTAGCACAGCAGGTTCGGGAACAACGCGAGCACGGCGCGATTCATCAAGCAAGATCAAGCCAACACGACCTTGCTCGTCGTTGGCTGTCTCACGTGGATCACCTTGGCTCGCAACTCGGGCTTGCGCCTCTGCCCCAGCCCCTGAAGAGGACGAGGTAGCCTCGGTGCGCGTTGCCTGTCGGTGCGCCGCGGCCGCTAACTCCCCGTCGGCCTGGCGCTGACACTGCGCAAGGAAGGCTTTGACGAGCGCAACGCTGTGTCCAGAAAACGCAGGGGCGAGATCTACCAATTCATTTGCTTCCAAGCCGCCCAAATCAGACAAATGCTGGAAGCCACCGTTTTCCCGAGCTGCGCAAAGACCAGAGATATCAACGAGAGTCAGCCCGCCCTGCAGCACGCGAGCGAAAACCGAGTTCACATCGCTTGCCTGCCGGGGCGGGGCAACCTCAGCACGCAGACGCTTGCTTCGGCTCTCGTATACAAAACTAAGCATTGAGCCGATACTACGGAAAAGGCAGGACTGGCGCATGACATCCCTCTTCCGATCACAACCTGCGCACATGTTATTGTTTCACTTTTGCCTCATCCGCCCCAGGGTGCATCCGCCGGAAACAGCCACTCAACGCGTTGAAAATTTCGCGCCTGCAGCTCGGCAGTTTGTTCTGCCTTCTCAGACGGCCGCGCGGGAGCATCTGCGAGATTCAAATGCGAGGGCACATGCCAAATCTGCAAGAAATGTGCCTTCTCGGCGACGAGAAGCCACATATTGCCAATCAGACAATTCCAATCGGATTTCCGTGAACAACCTCGCGTAAGCGCTTTTGTTATCGACGAAGCAGATGATCTCGAGATCTACTTGGCCAATGCTTAAAATCCATTTTGATGCGCAGATCGCTGCCATCAGCTTCCAGGTGCCGATCTGGTTCTTTCGCCAGTGCGCCCATTGGCGGGCGCTGTCGGGCACACTTGCGGCGGCCCAGACTTTGGCGAAAGGAGCGTGCAGCACCCGCGCCACCATGCCAGTGCCGGTTGCGTCGCTGCACAAAATGCACCGCTGGCGCTCGTGGAGCTGGAGCGGCGCACGCCGCGAGGGTGGCGATTGCAAAAACTTATGCCACCATATGAGCGCGACCCTCGTCCTCGCAGTGAGACGGCTGGCGCGGCCTGCGCCATGAAAACATAAAGCTGCCAGAGGAGCACGCGCCCCCTTGCCAAAAACTGAGCTGGCACCCCAACTCAAACGCAAGGCCAGCTTCTGCGCTTCTGCTGGCGGCAACGCGCCCGCCTTGAGGGCCCTGACGATTTGGGGGCTCCACAACTCGAGCGTCTCCGGACCTGCGTCAAAAACTATCTCTTGCCGAGCGTCATCAAAACGAACGCCGACGCCGAGAATGGTGGCCGATGATTGTTATGTGACAGCCTTGGCGGCATCCAAATCCCAGCCGAGAAGATCTGCAATTGCGCGCCTGGCCAGCTCGGCCGTGCCAGCGGGGCCCGTCAGAGGGTCTCCGCCGACGTCTATTCGCTCTTCCATCGCGTCGCCCGAAAACAAATCGTCGACAAAGCGAAGGTATAGCGCTAGGAAAATCTGCACAATCACACCCTGAATTGCCAAACCGAACTGCTCCCAGGCGGACGCGGAGGCGGAAGAGCCAGAGGGCATTGCCAGGAGCTGGAGACGCTGGTCTTTAGCCAACGCCTGTGGCCACACGACAACTGCCAATGGAAGGTGAGAGCTGCATATTGGTAGTGTTTTGAAGGCTTGCACAAAATCATCTTTGCGCCAGCGAATGCGCATTGTTCCTGCTTTTGTGATCTTCAACACCAGCGTTACAAGTGAGTCTAGCGTGTCGGGAAGCATCTTCTCGGATACCTGCGTGCCTTCATTGATGCGCGACGCAGAAAATCATCGATGCATCTAACTTTGGGAAACGTTTCCCAGCCTACGGTCCCCCAACCTTGCACGATTGGAAATGTTGGCGTTAAAAACATAGGTTTCTATGTTCAGTGGACGCGTTCTCGCCTTGCCGTCCGCGACCTCCCGGTCGCATGCAGAAGCAAAAACTTCACAGACAGATCTGTCAATCCCGAGTAGCAAAGACGATGGCTGCAAAATGTGTATATTCTGAACGCTCGCGGCGGCCAATAGAGCAGCTGTGGTTACCTCCGGCGCTGCGCTCCCTGTCGGAACGCGCATCCCACTCGCTGGGAGCAAGCCGACAAGAGGAAAACCGCGCATTAATTCCTAATCAGCATCTCGCTGAGGAGGAACAGATTTTTCCGGGGACCTAAAACACTTTGGCAGTGCGCCGGCAGCTGCGCAAACGCGCGTTGCCAGCAGGGTTCCGTCACTCGCTTCCTCTCCAACCAGTAAGCAAGCGCTGATTTACGAGCCGAGTGCAATTCCGCAGGGGTCAATCCTGTCACGCGGTCGCAGCCTTTCTCCAAACAGCGCGGCAGAAGAGGAACTTCTGCGCAAACAGGCAAGGCCGACTCCAACTCCAAGTGATCCAACGGATCTAGACGATGCAAATCATCGCGATTGAGAAAGCTATCTGTGTACACGCGCACAGACATGTGACAGCCCAGCTCTAGAATGCTTAAAATCAACGCTGGGGCGAGCTGAAGAGCGCTCCAAGGGCCCATCGCCCCCTGACTCGCTCTCCGACTGCTGAGCGTCGGCAGTGTCAGCGAGCGGCGTGACCGCTCACTTGCTCCAGGACTGCTTGTCCCACTGGCTGGACTGCTGCCATCCAGCGCGCGGGCTGCGCGACCGATGCTGCTGGCCACCGCCAGCGCTGCCCTTGCGCCGCGCGGGCAGCGAGCGCGCGCGCTGGCCGTCGCCCTTAACGCTCTTGCCGCCCTTGCCGCCGGCGGCTGCGCTGCTGGAGGCGTGACTGCCGCCGTCGCCGCCGCAGCTCTTGGAAGCGCCCTTGGGCTGGCCCTTGGGCTGGCCTTGGGTGCGCCAGATGCACGAGCGAGCTCCGCGAAGCGCTTGTCCAACTTGTCTTTGGCCGTGCGCAGGAGATCAACGTCGATCCTTGTCAGATACCTTCTCAAATCGGTCTCGCCCCTCTCGAGCGCCTTGGCCATGGCCCTCCGCTGGAGGACGTCGCATTGAAACGCCGTCCTGACCCCGCCGTTCTCCTCGGCGATGCGGACCATAATGCGCGCGTAAAAGAAAAAGTCCGCCATGCTGCACGCCTTCGCGAGGATTGCCTTGAAGCCCCACTCGTGGAGATGAAGGTCGCGAAGCTCACGTAATCGATCTTATCGATCCAGGCGCTTTCGCCCTTGGCGGCCGCACTCTGCCTCACGCGATCCTCGTAGGAGCCGTCGCCCACGACCGCGTCGACGAGCGGGGTGCGACTCCATGCTGGACGGTGATGATCGCGGAGATCTTCCCCTTCTGCAGAGCCGATCCAAGCCCGGCCCTTGTCGTTGGCGATCTTGGCTCCGGCTTCGAACTTCGCCAGGATTTCCTCGGACGGAAGGGTGTCTTCGTCGCCGTCGAAATTCTGCAAGCCCACTTCAACGATCCTGTCTTGAAGCTTGAAGGTGAGTCCCTTCGGTTTGCCCTTCTGGAGCACCTGGGTCTGTAGTTCTGCGAGCTGTTTCACAGCTTCGGCCATTCCTGCCACGTCGCTCGACCCAGCGCAGGCTTCTGGAGCCGAGCGGGCAGGCGGCGCAGCTTGGGCGCACTTGGTCTGCACTTTGAGTGCGAAGACGACCTGCGCTGGCGAAGCCTTCCAGGCCTTCCATGCTGGATCCTGCTCTGCGGCGCAAGGCAAATCGTTCACGACAATCGCTGCCTTAATCATCTCGCGCACGCGTGGGCCGTCGAAATCCGAAAGCGAGGTGCTGCCGATCGTTTTCCGCCAGGAGGCGAGCCGCGGACACGCAGTAGAACGGGTCGTGTTTCTCCGCGGCGCCGGGCTCGACATTCAGCACAAAATCGACCCAGTCGCGGATCTGGTCAGCGCTGGCCTTGTTGAAGGCCCCACGCGGCGCAGTGGCAACCATGGCGGAGACATCGCCCGAAGAGAAAGCCATGGCGGGCACGGCAGGGTTGAGGTTGCAACGCGCAATTGTAAAGCGCGCCGCAATGCGCCAGAGGATTTCAACCCCAGCAGGAGCGGTGTCACTTGAGCCTAAAAGGCGACAGACAGCATCATGACCGGGCTCTGCACGCAGTGGCCAGTCCCACGGACTGAATATCTTCACTTGTTTGCACTTGCCAGAAATGGCTGCGCGCTGGCGACGCAGGAAACGCGACAAGCACTGGAAGCGAGCTGCTGTTTCTGGAAAGAGCAGAAGAACCCTTCCGCTCCCTTATCCCCCTCTGCGACCTGAATGCGCCATCGAGGCCAGCAGAGGGCGTCATAGGGGCGCGGCCGTACAGACAACAGGAAGACCCCACCACTGAACTGAGCATCTCTGTTAAGTGTCTGCATCTGTGGCTGCAGTGTCCATTTCAATCCGCGGGCACGCGGCGTCTTCCGCGACGCTGTCTGGAATCTTTATCTATTCCAGTTCACGCCCACGGCTTCGCCCACACATTCGCCGTCGAGTCACCCAGAAGAGATGGAGGGACACTGAATGATGGATGGAAGAGCGCCCGTTTTGGGTGATACTGTCCTCCCGGACGGTTCGCGGGAGGCTTGCGCACGTTCCCCGCTACTTGCGGCCCTCGGCGGTGGACCGCAGCTCAGCAGAAAAGCTGACTAGAGCCAACCTCGAGATAACGTTCGACCTGGTCGGCCGAATTGCGAAATTCGAAGTCGATGAATCCCGCCGGGATCCGCATCTACGTTTAGCCTCATGGGCCAGATTCTCACGCGCCGTGCCAGAATTGAATTTTGAGCGCGCTAGTGAAAAGGCGTCAGCGTGGACTTTCGACCACGTGCACCTTTGGATGCATGGTCTGCGGGGTCGGTCGGGGGCGGGCAAACACTCCCGCCCCCGTTGTGTGCAAGTGGGGGCGTGGCCAATGCCCCCCCGTCAAGGACTAGCTTCTGCCGCCTGCGCACACCCGGCCCCAAGAACCCTAATTGGGCGGGGCGCAACATTCACAAGGCCCCGATGGCTCAAACTGCCATCCGTCTTTCGCGCGCTGACGGCTTCAGCGCTGAACTCTGGGCGCGTGCGGCCGAAGGCGCGGATTTGCGTTCCACGTGAAATTCTGCGCGCACCTCAGAAAGCCCAGATAAGGGCTGCAAATGCAATTCTGGGCGCCACTCCACGGATTCACGCACAGATTGCATGTCTGAGCACGGCAGCGTCAGAATGCGAGACCTGCGCGTCGGAATGCTAATTTCGGCCCGCCAGGGCCAGAAAACGTACACTTGCGCACCGAATGCAAGTCTGGGCGGGACGGGCGCGCGTTCCGAATGCACTTCTGGCCTCGCCTGCCAGTGCAATTCTGGGCGCGCTGGCGCCAGAAGTTGGGATTCGGGTTCCGTTCGCAACTCTGGGCACCAGCGCCAGAAAGCTGGCAGACAGCCGCCAGGCTGCTGCCGGGGAGGGAGCCGCCCCAGGAGGCACACAGCCGCGGCTCCTTCTAGGGAGCTTTGGTGGCGCCGCTCGCGCCAGGGAGCACGCAGACGCGGGTCCTTTCAGGGAACTTGGGGGGGCTGCTCCTGTCAGGGAGCACGCAGGAAGGGCTTTGGGGGGCGCCGCTCGTCGGGGAGCGCTCAACCGCTGGCCGCCGGCACCGCAGCCCGCTGCGCAGGCATTGGGCGTGCAAGAATGGAGGGGTGGAGGCGAACGCACGCGGGGTTGCTCCTCATGGTTTTCCTGCAGCATAAACGAGTTTATGAATCATGAAATCTTCAGGGAAGGATGCCATTGAATGCCAGTTCGCTGCCCCCACTGCAGGGCCAACGACAGAGGCAGCGTCTCAGCCCTTCTCCCCGGGGCTCTGTCCTCCCCTGAACCTCCCGTGGGTCTCCAGCTCAGGGACGGGCTCCTGGCGCCAATTAAGCCCCCCATCACGCATCGGGAACTCGCCTCCGCGGCGCGCGCCCTAGCCAGTGACCTGGACTGCCCAAGGGCCGACCTGGTCTCCATAAGGAGACCGAACACACACATCACAGTGCGTGATATGCAGAGGATTCACGACCAGATCACGGACGGCAGAAGAGGAAGGAGGGCTGTTCCCCCCCCCCAGACAGGAAAGGCCTTCCCTGTCCCGCTGCTCATGGCCGCAATCAGGGAGGTCGGGGCCGAACTGGTGGTCACCCGGAAGTCCCTAATCGGCAACAGAGACGCGGGCGATGGCTAGCCCGAGCGCGCATGAGCAGATCAAAGAACTGGTCCGTGCCAAAGCCGGGGCAGACGAAGGCCAGCGCACGACCCCACCGCGCTGGTCGCGGATGCAAGCGCGCCCCAAATACAAGCAGCACTGGCAGCGGCAGTCTCGGGCGGTGGCCCTTGCAGGATTCTCGCCTTAACCGCGCAATGGGTCCCGACCCCAGGAGGCCCGGGCCCGATTGAACTGACTGCCATAGCCAACGCGCGGTGGGGTATCGAGCGGCAAGCCTGATCACGCACTTGGTGCCCATAGGGAACCCCGCGCGAACGGGAAGGACGACCCACCCTTAGACAGTTGGTAGCGGCGCAGTTCCACGTAACAGACAACCCCCGAAGAACGCAGATTCCGCCATCCATCGTTGTCAGTTGGGGAAACAACAACGCCGATACCAGCGATGCATTGCACATACTTGCACCAGAGCCCCGCAACGACGCCATTGTGGCTCAGATAACTGAATGGCAACGGGCCCTCGAGGGGGACGGGCACGCAGCAGTGGACGTGGAATGGGCCACCACAAAAATACCCCTCCCAAGGGATGAGACCCTCCCCAAGGAGGGACTTGAGCCGCTCTTCCATCATGTCGCGCGGTGCCGACCCGCCAGGCCCACAGGCGTGCAGGTTCCCGACGACCAGCCCCTAGAGGAACTACAAGTCGCCGCGCAGACCGCCCTGGTCACAAACATCAGCGGGTGCACATGGAGAACCAAGGAAACATCGGACTCGGCGCACATCCCCATCCTGAGCACCGCCACATGCCTTGCCCACTCCGTCGCCTCGGACGCAGCAGCAGCATTCGGATACAGAGTCGGCTTGGACGGGGGAGGTTTGCTCCTCCTGAAGACCCCGCAAAGAATCGCAGCCCCTATATTCAGGCACCTCAGGGAGGAGCTCCCCATGATCTTCTGGAGCGGACGCAACTCCCCCGCCCTCAGTCCCCGAAGGATCCTCCTGGAGGGCAGCTGGGACGGCGGCCCATCGTTCGCCAAGCTGGCCGACCCCAAAGACGGCTTCCACCTCCGGTGGAACCTAGCAGACCTTGGGCAATCCAGACACCACGACGTGATAGAGACCATAGACGCCACGGTGGGCACGGGGGCGGCGGAGCAGATAAACACTGTGCACGCCTGGTTTCCCGACACAGGTGACTACAGGCACATGGCGCAGGTAAGGATCAGGCTGAACACGGCCGTCACCGTGGCAGCGGCCTTCTGCGGGACTAGCTGCATAACAATTGGCCCGCAGGTCATCCGGATTTTCCCAGCCACCCCCTCGAGAGAGCAGACAAGAAAAGACGGAGGGACCCCAAACGAGCAGCGAGAGCACATTGAAGCCCTCGCCCAGGAGGACGCGCGACAAGCCCCCAGAAGAGCTGTCCAGCCGCAAATACTCGAGGTCACAGCCCTCGACCGACGAGGCCCCCCCCCCCGAGCCAAGCAAATGCGACCAGAGGACCCCCCAGCACGCGACCTTGCTGTTCTCAGCAGCGATAGGCTCATCTGGGGCGAGGTTGCACACAAGAGCGTGGCCGCTTCCCACGGGGGCGGAGGGCAGGGATATACCAGCCAATACAAGGCCCCCCCCCCCCTCCCCCCACACGATCCCCGAGGAATGGCTGCGAGACGTAGACACAGCCACAGACGGTCGGAGTGCGAGGGCAGTGAGGGCCTTCGGGGCTACAGCACCATCCTCCACCGTCGATGACTGACGATGCGGGCGATGCATTTTCCAACAGCAGGCCGGCAAGGCAGTTTCTGAGGCCATGGTGCGTCTGATGGCATGCTCCACGGCACACTGGTGAAACCTGCTCGCTGCATCGCCTCCAGCGCTGCATATGTTTCTTTCAATCTGTTGGCGCATCTGCGAGTACGTAGAAACCGGACATCAGCGCGCCTGTCCTGGCTACGCAGAGCCAGAAGTCACCTATCAGCGCGTTCCAGTCCGCTTGCCCGGACGAGCCGCGGACAAGGGTGCGCAGCGCAGTTTTGTTGTCTACGAATAAGAAGCACATCGAGGTCCCCGAGGCCTTGCCCCAACAACCATTGCAACGCGCAGATTGCTGCCAGCAGCTCCCACGTAGCAATTCGTGTGTTCCTGAAGCACGCCCAGCGCCATACAGCATCAGGCACTTGGGAAGCCGCCCAAAACCGCGCATTGGGCAGACAGATGGCCCACGCCACGTCGCCATGCCCTGTTGCGTCGGAATAGACGACGCACGGGGTCCGAGCGAGTGGGCCGGCGCAGGGAACGACTCGCTGGGGCACGCATTCCAGAAAGCAGAGCCACCAGCGGAGCGCACGCTCCACGCGGCCGGACAAAGACGAACTACAGCGCGACACGTGGTAAAAAAGCAGGGCATAAGGCACCCGTCCAGCACGGCCGAACAGCAGACGAACCCCAGCTGAGCTTCCGCGCAAGCTTTTTCGCCGCTTTGGATGCAGGCGCTGAGCCAATACGTCTCGAATTTCACTCATCCACTCGGCGACTTTCGCCGGAGGGATGGCCACCATA